TTTGGCACAGAGGGGTTTTCTCCGTAGCTTTACCCTCACTTGTCAGGTCTCCATGTCTCAGCAGAGGTAGAAGTGAAAGGATCCACAAATGCATGTAAAACCCGGGTGTTTGAGCACGGCAAGCAGAAAGCTAGCTTCCCTAGCCACAGCCGTGTGTGTGTGTGTGTGTGTGTGTGTGTGTGTGTGTGTGTGTGTGGTTTTCCCAAATGGAAACCTGGCGTCCTCCATCAGACGGGTGGAGGGCATTGTCTGTAGCAGGATCTGACTGTCAGCAGGAATTGGGGGTCTGGAGCCCACAGACCCGCAGGAAGGAGGCACTGAGTCCCCCACGGGCTCAGGGACGCAGACCACAAGCCACTGCCTCTGGAAGTGACGCTGTGAAGACGTAGCCAGGCCTCAGCCCTCTACTTTCCATCTCTGGGAGCAGTGGAGCCGGGGTCCACACACACCAGGGAGAGCCCAAGGAAACAGCATTTTTAAGAAAATAGACCCCACCCCCAACTCTGAGACCCCCCAGGGGTCTTTGCTGGGAAGAAGCCCGGAGGACACCCAGGCAGAGAAGCCCGCCCTCCGTCACGTGGTCTTTGACTGAGGATTTCTTGTGGGCGCACAGGAGGGACACGTAGGGCACGCCGATGAAGGCCCACTTCTCGCTGGGCCAGAACCGGATGACCGGGCCTTGCTCAGGGATCTCGGAGGCGGCATCAAAGTAGGCGAAGCACACGCAGCCCAGGTAGGCGGCCAGGCAGATGAGGATGTGCCTGGAAGGGAGACAGACGGGAGGTGAGACCTGCCCTGGCAGAGGCTGCGCCGCCTGCTGCGGGGTGCCGACCCCCCCAGCCCCCTCCCCCCTTCTGGCCTGACCCACCCTTCCTGGCGCAATGACCTCGGGGCCTCTTCTAATTAGCAAGGGGAGAAGGGGAATGATAAATCTGGAGCAAACGGCCTGTTTTAGGATGTTCTAACATTCCAGCTTGATAACAGGAACCACCATGCAAATGCCTTTGGGGTCCAACCCAGAAGACTGAGCCCCAGGCTTTAAAACAGGGGCTAAGAGGGTGGACTTATAAGCACACTGCGAAGTACTGATCGGACACACACAAAGGAAATGAAGGTAACGGACAGGCCTCGGTAAGGGAAGTTGTCCAGGACCTAGTATTTGGTGTGAGGAAGAAAAAAGGACCAGTTTGCATCATGTACAGAATGATGCTATTTTTGTTTTTAAAAAGCATAGTGGAGAAATATATATATATTACATAATCAAGAAGGATATACCTCAGGCCATTAACAACTGTTCTCCCTTTGGTA